GAGTGTGTATAATTGCATCAAGTAGTACCAGGAACTATGTGACTTTTCATCACAGGAAACTGTTTTGTAAATGATTGGCTGCTATACTTGGCCAAGTCTCTGTTAGAAAAAGACTTCTAACTTCATCTGGAACTATCAGTCATCATTTTCCTTTTCTCACCAACAAGGCTGCCTTTGCCCTGACAAAGCCACTGAAAATGAACATGGTAAAAAGGATCATGGGAAGTCGGCGGCAGGAGGAGTGCAGTCCGCAGGACAATGCTCTGGGCCTGATGCACCTGCAACGCCTCTTCTCAGAGCTGTGTCACCCACCACGTCACATGACCCAGAAGGAGCAGGAGGAGAAGCTCTACATGATGGCACCTGTCTTCAACAGGGTAATTCATAGTAGAATAAGTCAAAAGTGGTGAATGACCATAATGAAGCTGTGGAATGAATACAATTAATGGCCTAGTTTTAATCCCTGGGAGCTGCTTTGAGGCTGGTTTGATCCTAAAGTTCACATCCACAATTGTTAGTGACAGTCATGACTATTTAGCAGAGTGCAGTAAACTCCTTCTGAGTCAATACACTGGTCATCCAAAAACAACAGTGTCACAGGTGACAGTGGTTTACTGAGCTCTGACATAAGACTTCCTTCCACCGCAGAAACCTTTATCAGGATCTAGAGACGGTATCTGGAAGATGCAGTAAACAAGAACTTATTAGTACTTGACTGTAGCCCTCATGAAACATAACTTAAAGAGTTAATCACTTTTCATATATGAAGTTGTGAAACTTGCACTGATTGATAATGCAAATGTAGATGACCACAATATAATACCTAGTCTGTTGTTTGCAAGTAAGTCTTCCCTTTGTGACATTTGTATTGTTGATTATTTTTGACAATTCCTAACTCAGCCTGATGTGTTTCAGGTGTTTGGGAATGTTCCTCCCAGTTCCATGATGGAGAAGTTCTCCGATCTGCTGCAGTTCACTACACAGGTATCACGACTCATGGTGACAGAGATCAGACGTCGAGCTTCCAACAAATCCACGGGTCAGTTTTTCGGTTTAGATGGTCATCAGATAGGAATTCTTCACAATTCGTTAATTCATTCTGAAAGTGATGGAATCATTCAGGAGACGTGTGTTTATGTGGGTTAGTTTGTTTTTTGTGTCAAACAGAGGCAGCCAGTCGAGCCATCGTCCAGTTCCTGGAGGTGAATCAGAGTGAGGAGGCAAGTCGAGGCTGGATGCTTCTGACCACCATCAACCTGTTGGCTTCATCTGGACAGGTGAGTATGGAGGGTGATAATGTCACTTGTCTGAAGGTTTTATACTCTGAATTGTTATTGATCCAATATGTCTTTTAGATTAGTAAATCTTAACTGTGGTGACTCTGTCATTGTTTGTAGGATCTAAAGCAGGGGTCATTGACCTTTTTGAAACTCAGGGCTACTTCAAGGGCACTTCATAATGCGAAGACCTACTTGTTTAATACAGACTATCCCAACAATGTAATAATAATTAGTTCTGGGACATACAAAAGTAGACACTCTTACCATCATCATTGTACCCATTTGAATATCATTGTAAGTTCAAGGTTCAAGGTTTTTATTTGCCATTTGTGCATAGACCCACAGTCCATGCACATTGGAAATCTTGTGCGGGCTTACAGAGTCAACGGTTTTATACAAACATTTTGTTAAAAAAATAGAGGTAGGAAATATAAAGAATGATACAAATATAAAATATAAAGTATAGAGTCTAAGAATAAAATATCAAATATACAATATAAAAAAAACACTGTACATCAATGGTAAGGCATTATTGTCAAGAAAGCGGACTGTATATGGGAAAGTACTGACCAGCAGGACAGGTCAATGTTGGAGACAAGTGATAAATAATAAACAGAGTGATAAATAATAAGCAGCATATGTTGTATTTTACAAATAGTCTAGTTCAGAGAGACACAGGGGAAGGAAAGGAAAGGAAAGGAAAGTGAACTCCTTGTCATTGTGACATTGTGACACACATCACTGCACACAACTAAATGTGACCTCTGCATTTAACCCATCACCAAAGTAAACAGTGGGTAGCTTTTTGAGCACCCGGGGAGCAGTGTGAAGTCCTTTCGGACCCAAGTCTGCTTCCTTAACCACTAAGCCACCACTGTCCCTTTTTTTTATTTCTAAAGGAAAGTGAAAGGAGTGGCGCTTTGGCCCAGAGGCAATGTCTCTGTCATTGGTGTGGAACCCCAGGGTTCACCTCCTGGACAAGTTCGAATCCCGGTTAGGGCGGTTAATACCTTCCAGTGGACTCACCACCCGCAGGAAGGTTTGGGGGGTTGGTATGGTGCAATGTGATTTGGGTGGCGACTGCTGCCCCCGCGACCCGGTAACGGATAAGCGGATGAAAATGGATGGATGGATGGA